GTCTGAACAACACCAACGACATAAATGAAAATGACCGCCAGCCTACAATGAATTAAAACTCTTTTCTTTTGATGATTCAGAGATTTGCAGTAATGAACCCACCCAGCAGGGGGCTCTCCGCTCCGTGGCGAGAGGAGGGGACACTGACGCACGCCATGATGCTGGAGCGCTGTGCCAGGCGGTGGGAGGCAAGATGCCGACAACTGAAGTGAAGGCCGGCAGCCGGCGGATCCCGAAGCGCTCGTGCTCCCAGGCCAGCATGTCGTCTGCCAGGTTGATTTTCTTGTGGACCATCGAGAACTTGACCTCTGGGTACTGACTCGCAACCACCTGAGAGGAAACAGGAAGAGCAACAGAAATAGACATATATATTAATACATATACTGTTTTGGCGTGTTTTTGTCCAGAGATTCAGTAATTTAAGTCATTTAATTACCATCTCCAGCTCCTTGAGCAAAGAATACTGAGGAGTTCCCTCTTTAGGAGGTTTGGACACATGGAGGTGCAGAGAGTCTCCGTTCCCCAGAGTGTCCAGACACAACACAAAGGCTACGTTGTCCTGCAGCAGACTGGAGTCTATGGAGACAAAGAACAACAGGCAGAAGTTAATAATCAAGTTAAAAAAATACTGAAAGACAGAAGGTTAAAAGTAAAGTAAAACTAGTTTTAGACCTTATTTTTTTTTAAACTGAAACATACTACAATATACTATAATACTACACATACTACACTAATAGTCTGCGGAAATTTGGTTCTGATGTGTATGTTGTTTACTATTCAGATAAACTGGTCTGGGATTGTACTTAAGTTTGCATATACAATTTACATAATTGTCCCAACCATGGCCCGAAAATAGTAAATCAAACCGAACCCAGTTGCCTGAATATGTAAGTGTAAGTACTGTTTAAGAGACTACTGAACAGTACCTGTATGATCCAGATTGTCCTCCAGCCATCGTTTGGTGCCCTGGTAGTTAAACTTCCCTCCACCAGATACAAAGAACAGCAGGTTGTACCTGAACACACAACATGATTTACAAATGAGTCAAATCTACAAGGGAAATCACCTGAGGGAACCAGATGAAGAAGGATGTGTAATACTATCATGTACAGACAGAGACTAGAGCTGTAATAAGTAAATGTTTGTGGGAAATAAATCACAAAGCATATCTTAACATGATTTACAAATCAAATGAGTAGTGGTGATTTTAAACCTACACAACTTGGTCTTACACAGAGAATTTACAGTGAAGTCCATTAGTCCTTTACTAACCACTCTCTGTAAGCGAGTCCTTCCACTCAGTGACTGTTAAGTACATTTAGACATAAGAATGAGCCTGTACCATATTATTGACCGCATTAAGTGTTTAACACAGTCGGATGTGAATCCCACTGCCAGCAGAGTGCACAGATAATGTTCATTATAGTTCTCAAAAAGCATTTGGAGCAGGACACTAACCTTAACAAATGTGATAGACATGACAAAAAGACTTCATCTTCTATTCAGATGAACCACTCATGTCAGCAATCAATACTGCTTCTACAGTTCATCATATATACAACGCATGGACTGAGTGTGCAGCACTGAGGCGTATGTGTTGACATTAGGGGTGCATATAAAACAAATATGGCCGATATCAGATGCCGATACCGCTGTTGATGCAACACAACAGATAAACATCAGCCAACACTGGTGAATACCATCTTATTTTCCGATGTCAGACAACAGATATCGGACAATATTGAAAAACGTAAACATTTAACAGTAGCTCCTTAGTTCTTACTGTGACTGTTAATGCACTCAAATCAATAAGGAAAGACTACTGCAGCCTGCACTCGTTCATACAGATACAGGGCAGAGCACAACAGACTGATTACAATACACGAGTGAAGGCAAACTGCAGCAGAGCTCAAGAACCATATGGTTAAATCCTGTGTAGGTACGGTTGCATACCCGCCTTGATAAACGCTCTATAGCATTAGTTATTACTTTGGCACAGTGGACATCTGCAGTGAGAGGCTGCCAGTCTGTTCTGCTAATCAATACATTTGGGGGATGAGGTCATAAATGACATGTTTGATGTTTCTACAGACTTCAGTTGAGTACCATTCAGTACACATACCATTACACCCCTAGTTGACATGAATGTGTAACACAACAGGGAATTTGTACTTTTTATGCAGCTAAAAATGTATATATTCTATTATTATAGGTTTATTTATTTGCAGCTCAAGAGACAAAAATGACCCAAAAAGCAGTCTAAATGGGAGTGCTACCATCTACCATCATTACTCACCCAGCGTGTGTCCTCTTGTAGGTGTAAAGTTTCGAGAAGAGACGAGCAAGCTCCAGTAACATGGACACTCCACTACCGTTTGAGTCTGCTCCGTACGACAGCCACTGGACACAACAACACACACACACAGAGTCAGATGCATTTCCTGGCCTCTCTTTTTACAGACTGTTGTGCTGCATTACTTATTTCCTGAACTCCTACAGTATAAAGTTTTTGGGCTCCAACTTAGAGACACTGTGTCTGGGTAATGAACTTGGAGACTAAATAAGTTGTTTTGCTGACTACATATTTCATCAGCTGCTAAATGTCCAGTATGTTTTGAAAGTGTCAGGTTTTATTTGTAGGAGAACAGAAGCAGTGAACATACTGGAGCAACACCAAAGGAGTCGTAATGAGCAACCACGACGATAGTGGGCAGGTCCTCTCCTCCAACTCCAACCAGACGACCCTAGTCAATAAAAACAGATCCATTAGACAAGTTAAATAAATAAGGAGGCAGAAACAGAATATCTAAAGCATTAGATTCAGCTAAGCCAATGACACAGTCACAAACAACCTCCTGACCGCAGACCTCAGAGAAAAACCTCAGCCTGCAGTGTGACTAAACCACTTTTTCTTCTGGTTCTGACACAAAGCTCAGATTAGAAAGCCCTGAACTAACACCTCACTCCTGCTTTGTTTTGCACACTTTCTGACTGTTCTCTGCTGTATGATCTTCAAACAGTCATCAAAGCCCTCTGAATCCCTCCATGAACTGTGACAAATATACTGTAGCAGAACTGTGAATGAAAACATACTCATATGCTCGCACGTTAGGCATTAATAATCTCCTCGTTAGAGGTGGAAGACCTTGAAGAAAAAGCAACAGGCAATTTTAAGTCCTCTCAGCCCACTAGTGTGTGTAAATCCATCTAGATTAAAAAAATTCCAGACTTTCAGTCCACACAACCATTTTTGTTCCAGGATTTATGCCCACCCACACGCAGGGTCCAAGAGTAATACCTGCCAAGCTCCAAATGCTGGTAAATTTGGGGTTTTGCTGGTAAATAATTTGGAATCACAGCGTAGGGCCAGGTTTATATCGCAGTGTTTTTTATACCTAAAGGTTAAAAGTAATGTGACTCCGCTGTCCACCATACCTAAAATATTTTTGGCTGGTGCATTTTTGGACCCTGCCCACAGCAGCCTTCAAATAATAAACAGGAAGTCACAGAAATGTTTGCATCCTGTTAGATCATGCGGGCTGCCTTTAGTTTGCATGATGGTGAAGAAGGTTTGCTAACAGATTTAATGCTCATTGCACAAGATGAGACAGAAACAGCTACAATCCACTGTTAAATAGAAAGCCTGAGTGGGGCTAATAGAGACTGGTACAGTCTACATAGTTTAGGCTACAGACACAAACGACAACTGCATCTTTTTCTTAATATTTCT